CTCTCTCTTTTAAAAAAAAAATAAAATAAAATAAAAGTAAAATAAATTATCATGTCACTTAATGCCAATGTCTTTTGGCAAAATATGTTTCAAACATTTCAAATTTGAGCCCCCAAAATTCCATCTAATATGATTAACACAAAAATCATGAAACAAGGATTTATATTGATGAAAATACAAAATAACAATGGCCATCTCATTCTACTGTAAAATAATGAGGTGCTTTTCTGAAATAAATCTAAAATGTTCTACAATCTAAACAAGTGGCACTGTGTAAATACATAAAAATAATTGATTTCCTTAAGTTGAAAATCAGCAGAATTCATGATATAACTACTTACTCTTAGCAATAGAATTTAAGACCTGTAAATGACATAGGCATCTATTTAATTAAAGCAGATAAGCCCTGCTCAAGATTTTCAGTAAATATAGATCATTTATCAACTGAGAAAAGATATGATATTTACTGTAATCATATTTTTACAAGATAATATTAGCTGAAAAAATGAGTTTTCATAGATGTAGTTCTATGGAGGACAGATTTACATTAATTAGGAATATAATATTTATTGTTATTCCTTCCAAACTATATATAAACTTAATATTTTATTTTATGAAACTGCATAAAATTACACCTACATATAAAAAAAAACTTATGGTGAGCAAATAGTAAAGAAAATAGTTTATTTTTTTAAACAAGTAGTGTGTAGTTATAATTTTATGCTGGTTATAAATTTAATTAAGATTTGGGGTATACTGAATTAAAATATAAAATCTTACCTGTTTCTTCTACACTGGCATATGACACAAATTTAAATATAAATTTACTGTGTATAGCATTTTTGTTTAGGATAGAGATTATAATCTTGCTATAAATGCAACCTTATAGTAATAGCCAACATTTAAATATGAACATTAGTGAACTTAAAATCTGATAGTTGTGTTCATTACCAGGTTTGTTTTCAGAATTTGCCATGGCGGAGCCTTCCCATGACCATCTCTTTTGCCGTTGATCAACACGGTTAGTCCGTTCCAAAGTGCGAGAAAGAACAGCTTTGTATTTTTCCTATTTAAAATAAATGCCAACACATTTTTCTACATTCACTATGTTAGTAAAATTTTGATTTGTGGTTTACAAAGCAAACCTCATCACCAAATTTCATTATCAGAAGTTAAGTTTTTATTAGATAAAAGTTTAAAATAATTGGAGACATGTTTCAGGTACCAATCAATATCAGTGCTTCTTCTGAATAGTTTCTATTTTGTTTTATGAACCCTGCATCAATGAACTGACCATGCTTTCCTCTTTGCTTATATCCTTAGGAAATTTAGAGTCAAACTTGTGGTTTATTTCTCTCTCTCTCTCTCTCTCTCTCTCTCAGTACTGGGGATTGAACCAAAGGGTGCTTAACCACTGAGCCATATCCCCAGCCCTTTTTTATTTTTAGTTTTGAGACAGGGTCTTACCAAGTTGCTCGGGACCTTGCAAAATAGCTGAGGCTGGTTTTGAACTCAAAAGATCCTCCTGTCTCAACCTCCTGAGCTGGAGGGATTACAGGCATGTGCTACATGCCTGGTTTGTGGTCTATTTTTAGCAATTGCAAAGACTGAGTGCTAATCATATCTTACCTACCTTAATACCTTTGTCTACCTAAATTCTCCCCTCAGCTTGATTCCCTCAATCATTACTTTCTCAACCATTAATTTTAATATCTGGTGTGGTATGTATTTTTTAAATTTCCTTAAATTTTTGTGAAATGAAGCAAGAAAATAACAGCATGCATATCAGTAAATCTATGCCACAGTCATCTATTATACCCACACCTATAGCAGCTTAATTCTGGTGTCAACTAATAGTGTTCTAAAAAAGATAAGTGATGTCTTTGTCTTGACCTCAACTGTGCATTAAGCTAGTCAAATCACCACTCACAACTGCCATGCTGTGGCAGAAGAGCTGCACTCCAGAAACGAGATCTTTACTCAGATATTTCTCATTTCTGTGTATAAAATACCATGTACTATACTTGAGTAAGCAAATCAACCTCAGGGCCAGAGGTTTTCTATTCTTCCTTAACAACCGTTTCATAGCAACATCATCCTTATAATGTCCCCACCATTTCTGAGGGCAAAGATAAACATGCCAGGAAAATGAAAGAGAATTTATGTAATGGCAATATTTGAAAATCACATTTTCTAACAGAAAAGTCAAGTTATTCTAAATTGCTTAGAAACCCTGGAACTATAATAGACTAAAACTAGAGAAGAACCTTGCCTTATGAAAATATTTCTGATCCATAAGAATTGCATCCCACTGTTTTTAAATGTACTGACCCTCTGTGCTGTCTTTCAGGTTCCTTCTCAAATCTGTAGCTGCCCATAGCTTACGTGTAGTTTCCATTTTGTGTCATATATTTCCTCTCTATACTCATCTCTCCTTCTCTACTCTTCAAAATTATATTCTCATTTCCTATAGCCAAGCCTACTTAAAGTGCCCCATGTCCCCTACTCTGTCTGGGACTCCCTCACACTAGCTCTCTGTGGTTCTCTCTTCCTTCCTGCCCCTTTGGCTATGTCTCTGGCTCCCTTTCTTTCTTTTGTTCTTTTTGTTTTGTTTCGTTTTTCTTTTATGGTACCAGGGATTGAACTCAGGGGCACTTGATCACTGAGGCACATCCCCAGGCTTATTTTATATTTTATTTAGAGACAGGGTCTCAGTGAGTTGCTTAGGGCCTTACTTTTGCTGAGGCTGGCTTTGAACTCATGATCCTCCTACCTCAGCCTCCTGTGCCACTAGGATTACAGGCATGCACTACCACACCTAGCCTTTGGCTCCCCCTTTGTTTGCAGTGTCATTTTGTTATATTCTCTTCTCTGTGTTCTGTCTTTCAGCTTTTTTTTTTTTAACTTAGATGGTCCTTTCTCTATCTCTCTCTCCTTCTCTCTCAGTCCCTGGGACTGTCTCTTCTCCAAGGACCCTCCTTCAATCTGCACAAAGTTTTCTATTTTGCATTCTTTGGTTCTTGAACTGTCTTTCCGTAGTTCCTACTATTTTCTCTGGCTTTCATGAGGACATGTTTCACAGAAGACAATGGAAAGTGACAAGAAATTATGAAAGATATTATACTAAATACTGGAACATGAAACCTGCAGATCACAAACATCCAAAGAAAAAAGTTCAGGTTGGGCTGAGGATGTGGCTCAGTGGTTAAGCACCCCGGGATTCAATACCTAGTACCAAAAAATAAAAAGAAAAGAAAAAAGAAACAGGCTCAGATTGGGTATGGTGGTACACATCTATAATCTGATCTATTCTGAAGGCTCAGGCAGGAGGATTGTAAGTTTGAGGCCAGCCAGGGCAACTTAGTGAGACCTTATCTCAAAATTAAAAAAGAAGTGTGGGCTAGAAATAGAGCTCAGTGGTAGAGCACACCTGGGTTCAATCCCCACTACTGAAAAAAAAATGTTCAGTAAGGCAGAGAGGAAAAGGTAACAGACCATGGATGGGGAAAAAAAGGCACAAGAAAATACTGAAGATCTCCAGATGGGGTGCAGGGCTGCGCATGAAGCACATGTGAGAGCACCTGCATCCACCAGAAAGGAGGACAAGTATGTACCACAGAGAAAGACAAAAGAAGTTTCATAGGGAGAAATGGAACCAAAGAGACAAGGAGAAAAAAAGAAATACAAAAATCAGAGCAACCGAAAATAAGGAAGGGAGATTAAAGATGCATACACACTGAGAGAGTGACAGGCAGAGAGCTAGAAGATGGGGAAAAGCATGGAAACTCTAAGACAAAGAAAATAAAAAGAAAAGTGAGTGGTCTCAGGAAGAAAAAGTCAGGGTCAGAGAGTCTAAAACATATTTAGAGACACTGAATAGTCAGTGGAACAAACAGACTGTGTCACAGAGAACATGCCAGATTCAGAAGGAGTCAAGCAGTGAAATGACCTATGAGACAAAAGTTTATGATTAAAAAAAGGGAAAATCATAGAGAATGACAGGTAGCCAGATGCACAGTTTAAATAACAAAAGACAAACTGATTGCAGAGGCACACATGAGGAAGAAAGGGGGCATAAGGAAACCACCGGCTCACACTAACATGTCACACACCAAAAAGAGCCCAGAAAGGAAGAGTGGTAGTGCCACAGACAAGAGAAAAAATGAAGAATGCTGACCATGAACCACAGGTCCATAGGGGCCAAGTCAGAAAAGGGACTGTGAAGCACAGAAGGGACAGAGACAGGAAGGGAGAGAGTAGGCACACACACAAGAGAGCCAGCGTACATGGAAGGGGAGAGAAAGTGCTTAGATTTGACTGGGGAGTCACACAATCAGAGGAGTCTAGAGAAACCATCTAGTCAGATGGGGGCAGGTCAGGGAGCTGAGGCACTGGGGTCTGTCCTCAGTCTCTAGGCATTGGGACAATAGTGAATGGTTTTCGATAATAGAACTGCTCAGAGCACAACCCAAATCACAGGTATCCTATGAGCCATATCCCAAAGGCAAATGGGACCTTTGTTCCTACATCTGCAAGGCTACTCCTTTCTGAGGTTAGGGTCTGAGCTCCTAGGACCTTATCAGGACAGAGCAAGAGCCTCTACTGCTGAGGGAAGGAAAAGGGAAGAAGAGAGGAAAGAGCTGGGACTGAGTCCTTTTCCACAGGGAGTAAAGCAGACAAGGGCTAAGAATAAACATATTTCAGATTCAGGCAACATATGGTATCATCTGATGAATAGGCTATAAAATTAGATACCCTTTCTTCCTCGAATTTTTGTTTTCTTTTTTCTTCTGCAGATACTCTTCGCCGCTCATCTTTTTCTTTTTGTTCTCTTAGTTTTCGTTGCTTTTCTTCCAGATGTTTTTCATATTGGAGCTTGGCCTTTCTTTCTTTTTCAAGTAGTTGTATTTCTTTACTGGCTGAAATAGTCCAAACACAATTTCAAGGTGTAAGAGCCAAGAAAAAAATTTGTTTTCTACATTACACACAAAGAAAACAGCTAATATTACTCATTGTCTTTCTCAAAACAACATAACCTAGCTAGAAACTAAAGATTTATGTAATAAGTGGATAAAGGTGGACACTAAAGAACCATTTTTCACTGGGTGCTCATTTAACTCTGGTGATTTGGAGTGTCTGAGCCAGATGATAATTTCAAATTAAGGGGGTTGAGGATATAGCTCAGCAGATATAGCTCTTGCCTAGCATGCACAAGGCCCTAGGTTCCATCCCCAACACTTAAAACAAAAGCAAAAATAAAACAAATTAGCTGGGCATGGTGGCCTACACCTGTAAACCTTGGATTACAGGGACTAGCTGCTCAGGGCCTCGCTAAATTGCTGAGGCTGGCTTTGAACTAGAAATCCTCCTGCCTCGACCTCCCAAGATGCTGAGATTATAGGCATGTGCCACCACACCTGGCTTAAAATCATTTTTACTAAAATCCCATTCTGCTTGTTTTTACAGATGTTGAAGAAATGTTCATACCTTACTTTTCAGAAAATTACAGACAACAGAAACTACATCTTGAAAAATTGAATAATTTAGTCAAAGATTTTTTTATCTGATTTGGTAACTGAATTTAATCCAATATAATAATCTTTTATATAACAAAAGTTATTATCTATCATATAAACACAGAGAAAAAGCAAGCAAAACCAATATGAACTTTACATAAAATTTATTCATTTTAATATAAATAAAAGTCTGAAATATACCTTCTTGTTGTCTTTTTCTTTCTTCTCTGCGCTCCTTTGCTAATTTTTGTTTTAAGTCATTTTTTAGAACAGACCCATCTATTACTTTAAAAAAAGAATACAGACATTAATATGCTATCAAATCTTAAAGATATAACACTTTGCTGTTCTTGAAGCACTAAAGAAATTATACCTGGCTTAAATGCTGATCTTATAGTTGGAGACTGACTTGAAAAAGAGCTAACTCCACTTTGATCTCGTCTTTCTTTTGCAACTGCTTGAGCGGCAGCAACTAAAATATTAGGAGATAAAGGAAAGGGATTAGATATCAAAACACAAACAGGAAATAGAGGGATCACCACAGTCAATTTTATGTGATGATAAAGAACTGGGTCACTCTTCAAGGTAAAATTGTGACTGCTTAATCTGGGTCAACAATAAAGATGTACTGAATACCTATATTGTTCAACGATACCTGATTAAAGAGTTAAAAGTGTTTACTATGGATGTGCCAAAGTATTTGTGGACATAAAGACAACTGTATTGTATGTGGCAGCACAAGTTTATGGATCAATGGGGAACCAATGATTGATAGCTCTTCAAAATGTATGAGAAGGACATTACACCAAGTAGTAGAAAAAAACTGAGCTGGCCAAGAACTGGGAAAAAATATGTTTCACCATAATTTGGGAATTTAGAAACTAAGAGGTTAAAAATTTATGGATCTGAGGGTACAGTGCTCGCCTAGCACGTGTGAGATGCTAGGTTAGATCCTCAGCACCACATAAAAATAAAATACAGGTTATTGTGTCCAAATACAACACACACACACACACACACACACACACACACACACACACACACACATATATATATATATAAATTAATTTATGGATCTGAATCTGGAATCAGAGTATGAACAGTGAAATCCTCAGTGCTTGGGCCCAATAGAAGTCATCTAGAATAGAGGCTTTCTATCGTGGCTGCATACTAGAATCACCTGAGTCAATTTAAAAACATCAGCAATGCCTAATCCAGCCCCAGGTGGGGCACAAGCATCTGCAATTGTAAAAAGCTCTATTCTCTTTCTTGTTTTCTTCTTTTTGGTGTGTGCTGGGGATTTAATCCAGGCTTTCCAGTATTCTTAGCACTCTAGCTACACCTCCAGGCCTCCCAAGTCTATTCTAATTTACAAGGAAGGTGGAGGCAGCAGCAATGTGTACAAGGAATTTCCAATGACATATCATTCTAGGTAGTAAAACGGTCAAGCAAAGCAATACAAATTGTGCAAAGTTGCTAACATATATCAACAGGCAGAAAAGAGAGAAAATAAACTTCAGTAAGGACTATATGCAAGATTAGGAGACTGCAACTTGAGAGAAAGTAAGAAAGACTATAAAATGATACACATGAGAGTTATTATAGGGGATCTCTGAATCCTTTGATTCCATGATGGTTGTATCTAAAATACTCCACAATCCTGGACTTCTTTAGGAAGGGTATGGAGAATAACACTGAAAACTGTTTTACTCCTGTATAAAAGCACAGAAAATATGCACCTTTGAAACGGCACACAAGTCTGATTGTTAGGTATAGGAAAAATATAACAAAGATGGGCAATCAAAACAAATAAGGGAAAAGGGGGCTGAGGTTGTTGCTCAATGATAGAACACTTGCCTGGCACATGTGAGGCACTAGGTTCAATCCTCAGCACAATATAAAATAAATAAAAGTTTAAAAAATATTAAAAATAAGAGAAAAGAGCTGCTTTCCTTGCACTTAAGCTACATGGAAGTTGTTTTACAGGGTAACCTTAAAAGTGAAATCACAAATGCTGCCATAGGGATCACTATTTCAAGAGAGAAAAGGGATATTTTTTGACCCATGGACCTAACAGCTCAGATAATCTAGGACCTAGCTAAATTTGAAAATGAGACTCTTCTCCTCTTTCTTGATAATTCAACTACTGGCAATTATGTGGAGACAGTAATTTTTACAAATAGTCTATAAATTGAACCCTCCCACATACTTCCCCACTCACATTTCTGTGAACACAGTGTTGTTTTTGCACATTCAATTCTCCTACTTAGAAGTCCTAAGAATTGGACTCTGAATTTTACAATTTAGCTGACCATAAGAAATTTCATTCAAAAGGTACAATTTTACCAGGTTCTAAAGATCTTTTTTAAAATTTTTAGTTGTAAATGGATATAATAACTATTTTATTTATTTTTTTAATGTGGTGTGAGGATGGAAACCAATGCTCACACATGCTAGGCAAGCTCTCTGCCACTGAGCCACACAACCTCAGCCCATAAAAATCTTATACCACATAACCTTAGAAGTACTTGCGGTGGGATTAATGAACTAAATCATATAAAGGCTAATGTAGTAATAATATTAAACCCGATTTTTAGATCATTGTATACAAATTCCTACTGGTAAGAAATATGTTCACAAAAAAGACAGGCTTTAAAAATTATTTTAAATGTCCAGGTAATGAGAGATTATGTCCAGATTCAATTCCTTCCAGATTCACTTCATTCAACTTCACTGAATGAGAAAATTTGTTTAACATTCATTTGAAGTATTAATGCATACATGTGTATGTATGTATATATATACATATATGTATATATATAAATATACACATATATAGACATATATATGTGTGTGTGTGTGTGTGTGTGTGTGTGTGTGTGTAACAGCAGCAAGGGCAATGGATGATAGCTCAGAGCACTTGCCTAGCATATGAGGCCCTGAGGTTCATTCCCAGCCCTGAAGGGAAAAAGAAAAAGTAATGGCAAGGTACAGTAAGTATACAACACTATATTATTTCAATACTTGTTATCCCAACTCTAAACTCAAAGTAAGGGACCAAGCCACCTTTTGCCTGGAAATTGAAGAATATTACTAAAATTGAATGAGGTAAAAAAATTTAAATAGGGCTGGGGTTGTGGCTCAGTGGCAAAGTGCTTGCCTCGAACATGTGATGTGCTGGGTTCGATCCTCAGCACCACATAAAAATAAATAAACAAAATAAAGATAGTATGTCCATCTATAACTAAAAAAATTAAATAACTGAATTATGAGTCTTAATATTTATAGAACTGCCAAACCAAATAATACATATCACTTTGCAATCTACAAAGTTCATTTGTATTACTTCATTTAGCAATCCTATGAAGTACACATTTTTATATTCATCAATGAATAAACTGAAGCTAAATATAACTTTCCCAGATCACAGAGAAAAATAGTGATAAAATAGTAAGTGATAAGCCAGGAATTAACTGTACATTAAAAAGCAACTAATTTTGAAATATTAAAGTATTAAGAAAAAACTAATAGGAACACAAATTTGCAATCAGGGAACCACACACACACAAAGGTAGATCACAGAATTTTGCCTAAAACAGCAACAGCCAAAGTCCTAAGGATAAGTACTTTCAGAAGACACCCGCCCCCCCCCACACACAAAGCCAAACCAATATCTTAAACACAATAAAAATTAGGGGCAATTTTCTACCATTTAGAGGTGTCTAGAATAGAATGGCTATGTGGAAAAACAGCAAATTCCCCATTACAGTATATGGTCCAGTTGTAGAACCTGCCCAGAATTTTCTAGCTGGGATACTGACTTCTGAACTAAATTTAAGATTACTCCAGCTCTCAAATTCTATGATAATGTGGCTTTCAGTCTCAGTGGCTTTTTCTGCATTTGTTTCTTGGAATAATAAACTCTACACTGAGAAATCATGTGCAGATTTAAAAAATAAGAAGGAAAAGGTGACATGTCAGGAGCAAAGTTTCTTATGCTCATCTGGCTGAAATATTCAAATAAACTTTATTTTAAAACAATTCTGTATAAAAGTGTCTCTTGTCAATATAATACTACAACCTTAGCATAGTGCTATACAGAGAAATGTAACTCAGTAAATGTACATATACACACATTTATATAGTATATATACATGTACATTTATATAATGTATATATTAATGCATACATGTATAAATGTATAAAATAAGTATATGTAGAGTTTACTGTGCACCTACATAAGTTATTTGTTCTATTTTAATTCATGCAGCTAGGCTCCCAGTAGGAGATGAAATTGACCTTCTAGCAAAAACATTCCATTGTCTCATTGACCCCTTCAGGAAAATGCTGACACCATGAGGGCATTTCTAGTCAAGCTAGTGCTTTGTGGAAGTCTAACATGTGATGTTTTTGATTGTGAATATGAAAGGGGCAGCAAGGATGTAAACTATGCTGTAAACTAGGGTTCCAGAAGGATTAAGGCTTTTTTGCATGACATTTTTGAAGTAGGAAATGCTGTAAATTCAGACAACTTTCCATAATTTTAAAACATTTTCCAAAACTCAATATACAAATGTTTTTAGTGGGTATACAGACAACATATTAGAACACATGCTCTTTCCAACATATTGGAATAATGCTGGTTAATTTCAATCCTTGATAATCTACTATCAGAGGGCCTAAGGTGTCAATAAGCACTACAAGTTACTGCAAACTCTGAGTGAACCAAACCTAGACGCAGAAGGTATAGTCTTTTTTCCCTACGGAACAATGAAAGTGTATTTCTTTCTGATATATTCTTTGGAAAGTTGATTCAAAGTCTTGTTTAGTACCATATAGCCTCCCAATCTCAATCTAAATTAACTTCTTAATTGCAAATGAAAAAAGGATTTAAAAAAAAAACACAATAAAACCGTTTTATTCACGCTCATAGCAGAGGTAATTACTGAGGACAGGCTTAAAACACCCTCCCGTGAGCAAGAAATACTCTGGCTCAGGTAGGAGCGCACTATCCCGAATCAAACAACGCACTGCCACGTTTGATTAATGTGTTTTTGTTGTTTGTTCGGGTTTTTTTTTTTTTTTTTTTTTTTTTTTTTAGGAGGGAAAAACTTTCTGACGATGGGATCTGTTGAGATGAAAGCACTCCTAAGTACTGCTCAGCCTAGGGACTGCAAAATGTCCCAGGAAGGTGACATCTTGTCGAAGTCATGTGCCACAGCAAGGCAAATCAGGAGGTACAGAGAGCCAAGTTTCTTCCCAACTTTAAACCCCCCACCCACAGCTCCTTCCCTCCTGGACTCTGACCAGAAGGGTGTGAACGCCTCGGGCTGGGAAAAAACTCAAACTTTCCAAGGCTGGAAGCGCTGCCCCAGCCGCAGTGGCGGCGCGGGTGCGCGGGGTCTAGGTCTCCCGCACATCCCCGGTAGCTGAGCATCCGTTCGGCCGGTCGCACGGGTGTCCTCCGTCCTCCAACGGCGGGGCTCAGGGCCAACGGCGGAGTCCGGGGTTCCAGCCGCGCGGGCCCCACCCGCCTGGGCAGTGCCCGTTAGCTCACTCGCGCCCAGCCCGCGGGACTTTGGCCGTTGGCAGCGACAGTTTGGCCGTTGGCAGCGGGACTTCAACCACTGGCAGGTCTGGACAGTCGTTTCCCCTCCCGCCCCCTGCTCGAGACTCCCCGAGTTCCATCCCAGGGGATTCCCGCGGGGGTGAAGGAAGGACCGGACCGCGCGTGGCGACTCCGGAGAAAAGTTTTGTGGAACTCGCGCCGCCGCTCCTTCGGCCTCTAGGGCCCAGGGAAGCCCACCTCCCGTGATGGCCCGAGTTAACCTGAGAGCCACCGGCCAGCTCACCCATACGTTCTCGAAGTCCCCGCAAGGATGTGCTGCCGCTGGGGCCGGCGACAGTGTGGTCCGCCATCTTCGGAGGCGAGATGGGACCCACTGGTGACTCTGGAACGGCAATGCGCAGGCGCTGCCGTAGCCTCCGGGGGGACCGCGGCCTGGACCCCGGGGGGCGGGGCGGGGCGGGGCCCGGAGAGCCACCGCGCCGCCGTGGAACCCTCAATCTAGGCAGCGCGGCTCTTCACACATCAGGTCGCCTCACCGACTGGGCAGTGACTAATTTATCTGAAGAAACCCTCTCCTATTTTCGTGCTGTACTCCTGCGCATCCTGGGTGCTAGCTAATCAGTTGCCTACTTGTCCATCCAACATTCCTGTTCTCCTTTTTTCATCTCTACCTAGCAACGCATTAACATTCCATCCTTCCCCATCCATTCATTTAGTTAGGGTACATTTACGGAGTGCCTCCACCGAGCACTTGTATCACCAGTTTACTAGTCTTTGAACCACAAAGGCCTGAGTTGAGGGAAGAGGCCCAGGGACAGGATGGGAGGATATGTTACTGTGAGGTGCTAGGGGCTCCATTGTGAGGAGAGACTATCTTACCTGGTTGCAGACCAAATGATGACGCCATTGGGCCTCAAAGTTGAGTGAAATATCATTGGGATATGTGTGTACCTTTAAAGTAAAACAGAGCACTTATTGGCATGAATCTCCAGATTTGGAGGGAGGCTTTTGAGGTTGCAGAATATTTTTCCCATTCACAGGACAAACTAAGTTGGCTTGAAGAACATGATTTCATGGACACTTGCTTATACAAGATGCATTCACCCCTGGCATTAATGTATTATTACTGTGTCTTATGACACATGGTTGAAAGGAAAGGGTTTATGGTTGGGGCTGCAGGAGACCCTCAAAATGGAACAGGAGACCACTTATAGGACGGCACTTGAATAAGCCCACTGAGTCTCAGAATGAATCAGACATCAAAATGACATGGCACATTACTATCTTGTGTGTGTGTATATGATTACACAACCAATGTAAGTCTACATCCTGTATAACCAGAAGAAAAAGAAGTTATACTCCATATATGTATAATATGTCAAAATATATTCTACTATGATGTATAGCTAATAAGAACAAATAAAAAAATGGAAGCTATAAAATGGAAGAATCTAAAATACCAAACACTTATTGTTATTATGTGCCATGTACTGTTCTTTTTCTTTCTTTCTTTTTTCTTTCTTTCTTCCTTCCTTCCTTCCTTCCTTCCTTCCTTCCTTCCTTCCTTCCTTTCTTTCTTTCTTTCTTTCTTTCTTTCCCTAGCCATTTTAATATTTTATTTAGACACAGAGTTGTACTAAGTTGCTCAGGGCCTTGTTAATTTGCTAAGGCTGGCTTGGAATTTGGAATCCTCCTGTTTCAGCCTCCTGAGCCACTGGGATTACAATGTGTGCCACCACACCCAGATCCATGTACTGTTCTTACTTCACTACATGTATTAACTCATTTAGTCCCCCTCCTAACCTATGACGTATGTACCATTATCAACTTCATTTTTACATAAAGCAGAGAGATGTTAAATCTTTTGTCCAGAGTGAAAAAACTGGAATTTGAACAAAATGTGCTACAGTATTCATGTGCTTATGCCTTCTGTGATACTGGTTCATGAGAGTTGAGACATAGAAAATTTATAAATGATTAGTATTCAGAATTCAAAGATCTAAATGTATGAAAGATAAAACAACTTCTAAAAACTTGGCAAAAGGCATAAACACACCTCTCAATAGAAAACACAAATAGCCAATACATATTGAAAAATGCTCAGTCTTTAGTAGTCAATACAAATAAAAAGCACCAAAAAATATCATGTTACACCTACAGATTTGGCACAAATTAAAGACTGAACAATAAGTATTGGTGAGGAAATAATCAACAACACTAGAAGCCCTGCTTCGAAGTAAATACAGTGATCATGGTGCCATGATTATTATTATGACACACCTGTGATTAGGGCACCAGCAAAGTACGTACACATACACAAACCCAAATTCAACTTTGATGAATTGGGTTTTAATTCATTGGAAATTTCACAAATAGAAAATCTAGAAAACAACATCACCATTGTGGTTTCTTGCAAAAATGTGGAACTCAAATCTAGAAATGATAGAATATTTGGACAAAGTGAGGCTGTAACTTAATCTACAAAACAATGGTCCTAGATACTTCAAAATGTTAGTGTCATGAAAGACTGAAACATCAAGAAAGGGTTCTAGTTTGGAAGAGTCTAAAGAGACCAAATGCAGCGCATGATCCTTGAATAGAATCTGAATTTAAAAATAACTCTAAATGACATTCATTATTGGGATAGTTGGAAGATTTTGAATATAAATGGTATAATAGATAATACTGCATAAAGGTCAAATTTCTTGGGTGTGGGGCTGGGATTGTGGCTCAGTGGTAGAGTGCTTGCCCAGCATGTGTGAGGCACTGGGTTTGATTCTCAGCACCACATAAAAATAAATAACACAAAGGTCCATTGACAACTAAACAATATTTTTTTAAAAAGAATTTGGAGGTGAAGCCTCATAATATTTGAAACACACTGATGAGGAGGAGTTCGGGGAGAAAGCCAGATAAGAGCAAATACCAAAAAATATTAAAAATCTGGACAGTCACATGAGTTCATTTTGCCATTCTTTCAACTATTCCATACGTTTTTCTTTTTCATTTCTTAATCTTGAAAGTTTGTCTTCAGCTTACTTGGAAACATAAAATTGATTGGGAACTACATATGGGGAAGCACCCTACACAATCTTTTCAGTATTCAGAGTCTGTTAAAACTTTAGTCTAGCCTGGGTGTGAGAGAGGGAGGGGAGATAAGACAACCACATACAAAAGTACAAGGAGCTGGTTAACTAATTATGATAGGTTCTAAGAGTTGAGAAGGATGAGACATTAGTCCTGTTTGAGATGTCAAGGGAAGAAGTGGCACTTATTTTGAACTTGAGATGGGGGCTTAGGGAACCAGATAGTCCTTGTTTTACTTTCAAAAGACCAGTACGCCTTCACCACAGCACACAGTTCCTGAGTGAGGAGATGGGTCCATTTGGGATCAGAGCTCTCTATTTTTAAAAAATAAGCTTGGAATCTGGATTTTAATGTAAAACCTCTTACTTTAAAATGATGACAACATTTAAAGTTAAAAAATACTCTGTAGGGTTAACAAAAATATCAAATATCTAGCCAGTGTTCACATTCCCCAATTATTTCACTATTTGCTGCTTGAATAAAAATCCAAATCAGGGGCTGGGGTTGTGGCTCAGTGGTAGAACACTTGCCTAGTATGTGTGAGGTACTGGGTTTGATCCTCAGCACCACATAAAACTAAATAAATAAAATAAAGGTCCATCAACAACTAATTTTTTAAAAAACCAAATTAAGTCCATAAATTACCTTAATTGATATGCTTTTAAGCACATTTTAATGTATAGGTAACCCTTCTTTCTCTCTAACATCTTTGTTGGATTACTATGAAATTTAGTATTCATCATTTCATTCTGTAGGTAAGTCATCCAATTAAACTTTTACTGCCCACCTACTCTGTGTCTGGCACAGATCAAAAGACAGAGAAGGAAGTCCTGCACCTGGCCTACACATCTCATTGACTCTAAGCTAATGATTCATATCTGAGTATCTTTAGATATTTCCTTGGGCCTAGAGCAGCTCCATAAGGACCCCCTGCCAGACTGTCTGTACATTTCTCAGAATAACATGGAAGGTAAGGCTCCCAGCTTGGGGAGAGTGGCAACTATTCAGGAGCTAAAACAGATTCAGAACTGGGAAAGAATATAGGCAGCTCCTCCTCTCCCTCTCCTCTCCTCTAGTCTCCTCCTGTTCCCTAAGGAGGGCAGAAGAGAACAAGAATCCAGTTCACTTATTTCTCTCCTACTTGGCTCATTTTCCCCTTTAGAACTTACACCAGGGCTGGGGTTGTGGCTCGGTGGTAGAGTGCTTGCCTAGCATGTGTGAGGCACTAGGTTTGATTCTCAGCATCACATATAAATAAATAAAATAAAGATCATCTACAACGAAAAAAAAATTTTAAAAAAACTTTATACCAACAGGAAAAATATTCAGAAACCACAGTCATAACAGGTCTAGGGATTGTCAAATATTTTTCTATTAAAAAATAAAATTTATAAAAATTTAATTTACATCTAATAAAAATTCAGAGAACTTTCCAGTCCAACACATTTGTTGTATTAAAGCTGCCACCACCTCAGCACTGTACTGAGTTGTAAGCTTCCCAGCTATGTGGGAGCTCTTTTTCCCCTGTCCTGAGCTACCTGTCAGATTCATCCATTACACTCAGTTTAGATAGAGCTCTGGTTTTGTAATTTTTTCTGCTTTCATCTCAACTCTTGCCCTGAATCTATTGCCTCTTAAGGAACAGACCTACCTCAGGGCCAGTTCATTTCTCAATTTGCTCATGGAAGCCTTCTCAGATGTATAATTCTTACCACAACTGCAGCAACTCCTCCCAAATGACACTTTGGCATCCCTCCTTCTTTCTGCAGAGAGGGTGGGGATGATAAAAAGGATAGAACAGGACACCTCACTCTTGAACTTCCACAGGCTATCCTGTGCCATCTTCTTTTAGGGAGCCTCTGGTCTTTCTTGGGATAGGGGCCTGATTTTCATTGTCTGGGCTCACCAGGGTGGGAGGTGTGAGCTTCTGAGGGGATGAAGAAGATGCTGGGTATGGTGGCATCCTAGTGGCTTGGGAGGCTGACACAGGAAGATCCCGAGTTCAAAGCCAGCTTCAGCAAAAGTAAGATGCTAAGCAACTCATTGAGACTTTGTCTCTAAATAAAATACAAAATAGGGCTGGGGATGTGGCTCAGTGTCCAAGTGCCCTTGAGTCCAATCCCAGGTACCACCCCCACCAAAAAAAAAAAAAAAAGAAAAGAAAGAAAAAAAGAAGAGACAATTTCCTTTCAAACTGGAAATTCACAAGAAGCTCTTGGAGGAAGGATGGGGCAGTGGTGGTGATTTGCTTGGAGTGGTAGGTAAGTCTTGGATCCTTACTGGTAGATAGTGAGAGCTGTCATTTGTCAATGATGACTCAATGACAGACACAGTGCTGAAGGTCTGACTGGGATTGTTTCTTGTAATTCTCACCACAACTTTATGAACTAGCTTCTATGATCATTCCCATTTTACAGATGAG